TGGCCTAAAGAGAGGAGCTTCTTTTCTCTTCTGAGTGTACTTCTAGAAATAGTCCTCACACTTAATAGCTCTGGGAAGCATAACCATCTGTGACCACATGGGGAAGCCTCCCTGCAGAATGAAGCTGATGACAGAGCAAGTAAACACGAGAGATGTAAAGAATCAGGGTCTTTCACAAGTCTGAGTCATTGAATGAAACCAACTGAAACCTGAGCTTCTGGTAGTGATATGTACAAGCCAGTAAATTCTCTTTAGTGTTTAAATGAAATACAAAAGCAGTTTGAGTTGGGTTTTCTGTTATTTGCAACGTAGATGAATCCTGAAAGATCCACTGCACACATTATGAGAAAATGCCTTTTTAAAATTGAATTGCAGTTGAAAAAGCTAATAGAGTGCTAAAAACAACATATTTGAATTTTAAAAACTTCTTACTGCTGCACTTAGTAGCTAAGTACTTACCATACTAAGAACTGCAATTTGGCTTCAGGTTGTTTTTGCAAGAAATGTGGCCAGCTGTGTAAGTCAGTTTATTCTGTAATTATTAGGGGAGGCTCTGGTATGCTATCATCCCTATTCTATCAATAGAAGGCAATTAGTGTGTGTTAATACTAGGTGAAGGAGAAAGACAATATTCAGCAAATAAAACATAATGTAAAACAAAGTATATATATATATAATAGCGCACTGATTTTATTGGTGGCAGAAGAAAAAATTCTTTCACTTGTATTTCCCCCCCCTCAAATCTGCTTTTCATTCTTGAAATAATAATATACACCATGGCTGCATCTTATTCTGAAGGGAAATTGGAAGGCCTATCAAGAGGTTTTGACCAGGATGTTTCTGTCAATGACTCCTTTCTTCACACTCTATTTAAAAAAAAAAAGAGAGAGAGAGAGAGGAAGAAAGTGAAATTGGACCTACAAATTGACTTTTTCACACTCAGGATATAATTCTGCTGAAACTTACCTATAACTGTGAAGTGCTTGTAGACATATCAATAGATTGCAAACAGAATAAACTGTTTCATTTATAAACATAATTTATATAAATATATAAACCCCAAAGCAAAATCTTGCTAAATACTTTTCTCTCTTAAACTCTTAAAGTACATCTCTGTTACCATTAGCCCCTTTATTGCTAGCAAGTTGATTTCAGGAATGTCCATTAACCAAATAGTTTTTAACAGGAAATGATTTAAAAAAGAAGCAGCCTGCCAATGAACCAGTTCTACCTCCATCCTATCCCTCTGAATACCTCCGAACTAGTTTAGTTCACACAGGACATTTATTTTAGTCTGTCACCTCCCCTGCCTGCTCCCCACCTTTATCAGGTACCACTCTGGTTCAAACACTTTCATTGGTGACAACAGAAAGCTGAAAGAAGTGAAGAGATGAGCTGTGATTGTTCTGGTCCTATTTGAGCTTCATGGATAAAAGCATGCTTGGGCAGAATTCCCATAGCTGCATACTAACAGCTCATAAGTCTCCCGAGTAAACAGTCTCCTGCTTAGAAAATGAAGAGCTCTCTCTGTACTGTCATCCTCACATGATGCCCATGCTGCTGGCATCACAGGGTTCTGTAATAGCTATTCTTAGAATGATCACTTCCCTGGCCTTGATTTGAAAAATTTTGCTGGACCAGATTGTCAAAACAATTTTTCACTTTAAAAATAGGTCTTTTACCAGCTAAAAATGGTGTCAAAGCCTTAGAAAATAAATGAAATTGTGGTATTTATGTAGCAGTCTTAGCTATCGGTTTCAAAGTTTGTGGATGACATGTGAAAAATGCAAAGATGATTCTTTCACCAAACAAATAAAAAACTAGTAATGAAGTTCAAAGTGAGTCAATAATTATTAAACAACTTCTTATGTTGAGCTTGAACCTTCATTGCACTGGGGGCCTCATGCTGAGGTGTCTTTCAAACCTTCCCACACAGGCCAGCTGTTTCCCCTTCACAGCAGGACAGAAACCCTAACTTCTCCTCCACTAGACCACCGCCTTTGGGTGCTTACATGCTTTCCCTCCAGGTGCTGGAATCCATCCTACATCCAATAGCAATATTTATTAAGTATAATTTCAATCATATCATTCTTAATTGGAATTTCATGAAAGCGCTGAACACTTCAAACACTTGAGATGTCTAAAGCCATAGTCTTCAGCAACTACCAACATGTACTGTATATTTAGCACCAACTGCTTTGATTTATATACTCTATGTAGCCACTGAAAACTGCTTCCTATGCACTATGCTTCTTCTCCTCTTTAAGCTTTCCTCCACCTTTAGAATTTCTTCAGAGAACTCTACCCTGCCAAGAAAATGAAGCTTAAAACTGATTTCTAAACTCTATTCCTACCTCTTAAGTCTAGTTCCTATAACCCCAATCACGTAAATAAAAAAAATAAAAAACTCATTAAATGCACATAGTTGTGGCCAGTTTCATTGGTTACAGACCCATGCATAATTTCTCTATCCATATTTGCTCATATTTCTAACTTGTCTGCAACAACTATGAGAAGTTCAGGAACTATAAGTTTGACATTTGGGGCCTTATCTCCCCTGAAGATTTGACCTGATTTGCCACCACTTTTTCTCAGAGGTGGCTCTACTTCCCCAATGGCTCCACAAGACCCCTTCTCTCACCTCCCCCTGGCTCCCCTGCCCTCCTGCTTTTGTTAGTCATAAAGCTCAAGTAGAATATAACCCCCCTACCCTTGGGAAGAATATGTGTATGTGGGGATAGTGGCCTTATACTAAAATCTTGTCTTAAACAATTTAAAAGACCTCAGAAAGCTAAGAGGGAAGTCTCAGTTTTCCTTTACCTGAAAAGAGATTTAACTGTAAGTACACTAAACTTATTCTAATTGTTTTACTACCTTTTTATTTAAGAGTTTATATCTATTTACTTAATGGCCTTGTATTAAGCACAAAGAAAAGTCAATGATAAAGGAAAAAGTTGCTATGGTAGCTTGCTCTGGCAAATCAGAAGCCATGCTTCCTCTCCGGACAGATGACTACATAAGGAGCTAAGAGCTAGGAAATAAAGGTTTTTTCACTTCGAGAGGGCAGAACGAATTTTTAACTAATGGAGGAGCTTTGGGGAAACTGAAGGAGACACAAGACTCTGGGCCAGTGCTGTCCAGCAGAAATAGAAAGTGAGACATGAGCCATTTTTAATTTTCTAGTAACCACATAAAAAAAGTAAAAGTAATTAAGTAAAATTAATTTTAGTGACATATTTTACTTAACCCAATCTCTCTAAGATGTCATTGCAATATGATCAATAAAAATTATTGAGATATTTTACTTTTTTAAACTGAGTCTTTACAATTTGGTATGCATTTTTCATGGATAGTACATCTCAGTTCAGGCTACCTGCACTTTCAGTCCTAAACAGCCACAGCTGGTTTGAAAAATGGAGTCACTTAGCAGGGGAAAGATACAATGTGGATAACAGCTGTAGCAGAATAAATAGCTAAAATGATGAATTGAGAACAATTTCTTTAAAAATTCTCAATGGTCTTGTTATTGAGAAGAAAATACAAGAGAAAAAAAGATACAGTTAAGTCCAAAATTCTCTTTAGAGTGAAATATAACAAAAACTGTAATGAGAAAACTCTGATTTCTTAAAAAATATTAAAAAATATTCAAAAGCCCTGGCATAAGCAAAAAATAGAAATATTACCAAACATGGCAAAAACATATTAATAAGATTCATCACAATGAGACGCCTTAGATTAGTCCTATAATTTCTTGACTTTTTTTGGTCACATTTCTCTTCCTTCTTATTAAAGATATTCAGATAGCAACTCTTTCTAAAACTTTAAGATGAAAGTTTCTAGCTTGATGGCCTAGGACTCCCAAATTATATTTCAATAAGCATTCATGTTGTCTTCACCCAATTCCTTAAGATATACTGTGAAACTTTTCCTCTCCTCTCTCTCTCCCTCAGGCTGCAGCAGCAGTGCTTTTATTTTAAAGGAGGATTTTTCAATCTCAGCACTGTTGACATTTGGGACAGGTTACTGCTCTGGGGGTGCTGCCCTGTACACTAAAGCAGCATCCCTGGCCTCTACCCACTAGATGCAGTAGCAACCCCTCCTCTCCCCCAGTTGTGATCATCAGACAGATCTTCTGACAGTGGCATGTCCCCTGGGGGAGCAAGACCACCTGCTATTGGGGATTTCTGCTATGAAGTATTTAGGTTAGTGGTGTGCATGCCTGGGCCCTATCACCCCCACTTCTAAAATAAATGGTCTGGGGTGCAGGGTATTGTTTTTAAAAGATCCCAGGTTCTAATGCATAACCAGGTTGAAAACCACTAATCAGATGATCTGAGTAGAGATTACTGGCTCCCTTTTATCTGTATATCTCATTTCTCTATGTCCTTTAAAATGGTAAGCTTCTTGAACTCATCCTTCATTGAAATACTATAGAGGCCCAGGACATGAAATTCATGCACTGGTAGGGTCCCTTCCCCTGGCCAGCTCCACCTCCTGATCTAACTCCCAGATGAACTCTTGGTCGAGGGGACAATTTGCACACTATGCTTTTATTATATAGGATGGCCTTCCACACAGCAAATTGTAGCAAGAATAGCAGGTGGTCTAAATGGATCGTGAGTGAAATATATCTTTTTCCTTAAAAAGAATTGAAATTAATGAAAAAGTATACTCAATTATTCCGGCCAGTAGTTTGTTTTCTTTCACCTTCCTGCTTTCAAACTTATAGTCACTTTGATGATTGTCCACCTCCATTAGAAGAGAGGAGATACGGAGAAAAAAGAGGACTAAGGAGAGATTGGTGAAGAAAGGGCTGGTGGAAAAGTAATCTATAACTATGGTTTAATCGTACGTACTTTATAATTAGAAGGTTTAGAACATCAGTTTTTTTTCTAACACATTGGTATGAAATATTAATAATTGAACTTATTTATTCCACATGAATAATACCTTTTTTTAATATGGAAACCACCTTACAATGTCAACCTTACCTTCTCATATTAGTTCCGAGCCCGGGGAGGTTGGTAAAACTGCTGGGTTGGCCGAGTGGACCGCCTTGGCTGGCCATCACCTCCTCTTCGGAACTCAATAGTTTGGTCATAGGTTCCTTCTTCCTCCTATTTGCAAAGAATAGTGATGTAACATGTTCAAAATAGCTCCAAGTCTCCTAAGTTAAATACATCTTATGGCCCCATTTTGACATACCCTCTTTAGCTGCCTATGATTCACATCTGTCAACTTTTATAACAGAGGAAGGCAAGGAGAAGGAAAAAGCCTCTTTTGGTCCTTGGTAACAGAAGAATACAATGTACAGTGATAACATTAGAGTCAAATTTAATTCTAGAAAGGAAACCATTTCTACAAAATATTATGATTATTTCATCAAATGACACAATATGCCAAAAACAAAGAAAACCAAACATTATAATAGAAATTTTCTTGAATATTTGGGCGTCTAGATATTTCTAGGTGTTTAGCATGGAGAGGGACTTTAGTAGGATATGGAAAAGGGGGTGAAGAGCCACAGATCGTTCACCAGCTGTCTGTCCTCATCTGACAAAATCTCCATCGCTAAAAAACTTTACATCCAGAGACAAGAAAAATAATGGATTGGAATGAGAGAAATATAATTTACATATAAAGAAAGCTCCATGCAAGACATAGCAATCACCACAGTAAGACATAAACTATTTTCTTCTCATTTTCTTTCTTGCTGAGGGGGTAGATCAGCCAGCTTAAGGAATAGCACGGGAAATTAGGATAAGCAGGAAGAATATAGTTAATCATAATATTTGAAAAGCACTTAGAAGCAACAGAAATGTAGCTGAAAGCCACACTGGTTTCTTACTGAGTGCTGCCACCCTGATGTTTTAGTGTTTTTAAATGAATGGAGCTATGAAGTATGTTCCCTGTTAGAGACAAGAAAACACTGGTACTTCCTTTTGTTTATAGAAAAAAGCGACATCTATTTCAAAAGCAGAATTTCCATTCCAACTGCATTATCAGAGCACAATAATTTACATGATTTTGGAAAATAATGCACGATTTCTTTCTCCTCCTTACTGTATCTCTAAATCTCTTTCCTAAACGATTGTTTCCTTTGACCCTATTGATAAAAGAGGAAGTTATAGGAAAGACTGAGTTCTATGCTTTACATTTTACCCATCGAGCTACTACAGTCTTACTTGACGAGAGCAGAAAGATGCTAAGAAAATTGGATTATATCCTAGTATTTAGAAATTATATTTAGTATTTGGCATGAACTCATTAGGTTTCCTTCACTGTATTCTTAAGAAAGAGCCACTATTTCCATTTTATATTAAGGACAATGAAGCCTAGATAAACTTTACCAGTAGGACTTTGCCCTAACACTTGTAAGGCAAACCTCGACTTTTATTCAAAGATTGCTACTAAACGTAAGTCTCAGTATGCATGTAAAAGAGATAAACCAAGAACCAAAAATTAATGATCATCCTGAAATAAGAAAATAGAGAAATATGACAAAATACAGGGTGTCCCTCCATAAATGCGTACACACTTCAATAGCTAATAGCTCAATTTTGAAAATGAAATGTATTTTAATAAACACTGTCTTTATAATTACTCAAAGTATGTGGATATATTTTTGGGAACACCCTATATTTGGCATAACTCAATAACTATATTTCAGAGACAAACTTCATATTAGCTCTCCTTTCTCTATGCCTCTTTCATTGACAATCAATCTCAAAATGGTTAGAAGCATCCATATTATATCTATAATTTAGTAAAGCAATTAAAATGCAGGAAGAAAGATTAAAAGTGTTCAGGAAAAAAGAGAATTAGTTTTTATTATTCTGGTCGCTGTTCTGAATGATGATTATCAAATATGGCTAAATTTGAAAAGGAGCTATTTAATTTTATGAAATATGATAATACGTGAAGCTTTGCATATTAACTGAGAACAAAAATATATTTGCTAATGTAAGAGATGAAGTAATTATTTCAGGAATTAGAATGGAATGTTATTTTTTCTCTACATCCAGTTGCAGAACTGGCCAAAGAACATACAAATCTACATTTTATCAATAAAATACACTGTTAAAGATAGGACACTACATTTGCTGAGCTGGATTATATAAGAAAGATGACACTGCTATTTCAAAAGCTGTCTCTACAGTGTTTAAAAGATTTACAGACTAAACTAGCCAATTAAATGATTTTATAGAGATGACGGACCATAAGATTTCCTTCACTCTATTTGATGTTTTCACTATCTTTCTATACAAAATGGGAGCAGAATTGATACTGACAGCTTGGTTTTCAATTATTGTCAAAGGCACAATCTTGCTTTTTAAACTTTTAAATATTCCTCCAGCATAGTAGTTGATAGCAAGCCCGGTTACCCACAAAAACCACCTCCTGTAGTCTCAAGCTAATAAGTTTTAGTATTGAATGAATGCCTCTTTCCATTTATAGTACACAGCTCAATTTAATACATCAGTTTATCTGGAGTCATGTTTGAATGAAATTTAAACCTTGTTCTTCTAGTTTATCTTCCATTAGGTTTCACTACTCTGTAACAGATTTAAAACTCAAAGGAATTTAAATTTCCTAGTTCATGAATATATTTTAAATGTTAACACTATGTTTGAGTTGACATAGTCCTGGGATGCCATCTAGTCTATCCCCTAGATTTGAGAGATGAGGAATCTCTAAACCCAGAAAGGTGAGTGATTTTCCCAACTTAGAAAAGCTTACTGTAAATCAGTCATACTTCAGTGGGAGATGCAAAACACATTTAGAGGTCAAGTTCTCTGTTCTACAAATAGTAAGGTCAAGTGCAGGCATATGTACAAACCTTAAGGAAGGTGTTTGATCAGTGGTTTTCAATCAAGAGTGATTTTGTACTCTAAGGGGCATTTGGCAATGTTGAGACATTTGGGGTTGTCACATCTGTGGGGTGCTATTGGCAACTACTAGTAGGACTGGAGACATTTTTTGCTTTTACGAACTGAAGGGGTAGGGTTAGGGAAGTTGTTACTATATCCAATGGTTAGAGGCCAAGGATGCTGCTAAACACCCTGCAATGCACAGGACAGCCCCACAACAAAGAACTATCCAGTCCTAATGCCAACAGTGCCCAGGCTGAGAAAGCCTGCGCTAGGCAAATGAAGGACAGGAAAACTTCCTACTCCTACGTTCCAGGGCAGCCTGGAATTCAGGAAGTTTGGGATGGCCACTCTTTCACCTTTTACCCTGGACATTTCTTCCTTTGCTTCTGCCCTAAGGCCTAAATGCTGACCCCTCTATGGAACTTTTGTGCGGGGCTTTCTCTGCTGAAAATAAGGCTCTCCTCTGCACAGCTACATGTTCATAGTTACTTAACTTACTGAATAGCCTCATATTAAATTACCATTTCTTCAGCATTTTCCCACAGCCATAACCTCATGGGGAGACAAGGAGAGATTATTTGGTTGGTGGAAGTGGACAGTGGAGATGGTAATTCTCTTCATATATTAAAAAAAAACAAAAAAAAACTTTAGAAAAATTGCTTTATGCTGTCACCTGTCCTTGAATAGCTATTTTGTGTGTATAATTTAAAAAAGTTTCTCTAAGTCAGTTCCTTCTCACATATTTTATATAGTAGTCACAAAAATAAGCCAGCATATAAAATGTATACCAGATACCTTCAACAAGAGTGCTTGAACTTTAGGATATTTTGAACAATGAAATACTAATGAGTACATATCTCCTTCAGTAATTCATATACAAACTACCTGCTCTATGAATTTCCAGGCCACCCTTTGCCTGCCTGTGTAGTCAATTTATAGAAAATATGAATTAATTTCAATATAAAACCTAAGCAAATAATCATTTGAAAGACAAACTTGATTTTACAAAATGTCAAATAATAAAGGTGCAACTATGGGGACAGTAAGAAGATCAAGGACTGGGGGCAAGGAAGGGATGAAAGGCAGAGCACAGAGGATTCTAAGGCAGTGGAGCTATTTTGTAAACTATTGTTCCAAACCCAAAGAATGCACAGCTCCAAGAATGGACCCTAAAGTAATCTGTGGACTCTGGACAATCACTATTGTGTCAATGTAGGTTCATCAATGGTAACAAATGAGGAAGGCCATGCATGTGTGAGGGCAGGGGGTATATTGAGGATCTCTGTACCTTCCTCTCAGTTTTGCTATGAACTTAAAGTGTTTTAAAAAAGAAAGTCTTGTCTGGGCAAGCATGACTCAATGGTTGAGTATCAACTTATGAACTAGGAAGTCACTGTTCGATTCCTGATTGATCAGGGCACAAGCTCAGGTTTCAGGCTCAGTCCCCAGTTGGAGGTGTGTAGTAGCCAGCTGATTAATGATTGTCTCTCATCATTGAGAGAGATATCTCACAGTTTCTATCTCTCTCTCCCTTACTCTCTGAAATCATAATAAAAAATAAAGTGGGATACTTTGTGCCTTGTATAGTGCTGATGAGATGGTAGATCTTTAATATGAGACGATACATTTATTGACCTGCCCCTTATTAAAATGACACATCTTAATCCATTCAGATTCTTCCTGTGGTTATCAGTAATATCATAATCAGAGTATGAAAATTAAATTTCTTTCATCCTTGGAATGTCATTAATTAATGTATAAAAACAGCTTTGAAGATTACTGAGCTTTCTGAATTGGCTCTAGGTTGTGTTTAATTTTGATCATACCGTGGATACTAGTAACATTTCCTCTTGGTCCTCACTGGAAAACTTTGCCTTTGATTTTATTTGTCAGTCCAAATTATGAAATAAAATATCTGTCCCATTAAAAACAACAACAACAACAAAAATGTAATGGACTCTAAAAATGAAAGTTAAAATATTTTTAAATGTTCGATTTTAATTCAATTATAGTAATTTCTATAAAATTGAAAGGATGAATCTGCCTTTATTTTCTATGAAGATAATGGATAACATTTGTGCCCATAGGAATCAACACTGAACCTTAACTTACCAATTATCCTTGCAGCAATATATTCTAATTCAATATTTATAACGCTATCACAAAATAATTTGGGCTGTGAATTTGGACTATGGATGCCTGGAACCACAGAGTATAAAAGAGGAAGTTTTTGTAAATCACAG